CCTACTTTCATACAAAAATTTCAAAAATATGAAAAAATAGGTCAAAAGTCGACATGATGGCCAACAAATCGGCCTCTGGCTGGCTCAAATCAAAATGAATTTTTCTAAAAACTATTTTATTTTGTAGGGATGGACTCTAGCAATATTATAGAAGAAAAAAAAATTGATTTTCGTATCGCAATTTTGAAAAAAATGAAGAAGAAAGAAATTATTGTCTATGACCCCTCCCCCTGCCCCCTTGCATTTTGATCGACCTACAAATGGGTCTATCTTGTAGAGGGAGATCCCTAGAACACATGGCAACCATAAATGGATATATATTCAAACTTATTTTTCATTTTATTTTGATCGATTTGGGAAGATACTCATTTTTAGGGGAAATCGACCCCCCTGCGCCTGGGGAGAAATTCAAAATTCTGCTCCGATAGAAATTTTCTATTTTTTACCCCCAACATACCCCCCAAAGGGTTTTTTGAAATTTTAAAATTTTTCTAACGAGCCTATTATTTGAGACACCCTGTATATTATTGGTACCGCTGAGTAATTGAAATATAATATTTATTTTTTCACATAATTCGTCACGACATTAATTTTTTATCTTTTTTATTCACATTTCACATTGTTTTTTTTTATATTTATATAATAAATAAATCCCGTACAAAATTCAATACAATAACTGTCAAGTGTAGTTTTGTTAATAGGGATTGATATGGATTGATAAGTTTCTCGCGTGGTCCACCTGTCAAATCGCTGTCGTCGACTTGTTCGACGGATTTGTACTGGGTGCAACATTTGAACAACGTCTTCATTTTGAGCACAAACCTCCTTAAATTTTTAATGATCTTTTCTAATTCTATCTATAATGGAAATGTCTAGAGTGTATGTCAAAGTTCTACTTGGTACGTGGATATTTATGTTGCGTTTATATGGCTGTAAGATAACTGTATTTTTGACATTGTCGTCCCGTTGTTCTGATTGAAACGAACCTAAAATGGCGCAAAAAATGGTGAATATTTGTAGTGTCGTGCGCATCCCTGGAAGAAAAATTATGAGATGAAAACTGAATTTATAAAAAAAATCTTTTGATAGCAAAACGGAATGCAACGTATAAAAGTAAAATCGGTATAACTATAATTGCTACTGAAAAAAGGAGATCCTTTAAAAAACTGAACACACTATACAACATATCACCAAGTACTTCAGATACATTCTCTTTAATCCAATTTCCCGCTTTTCGTGTAATATTTTTAGTTCTATCCCAAGAATCATGTAAGAATTTTCCCACTTTGATATTATAAGTTGCATTGCGAGATGAGTTGGACGCCGTAAAAAGATCGGCGATTATTTTTTCCGTTTCCTGTTTCAAAGTGACATCTCCAAAACTGTCTGGGTCAATTATATGATAAATTCGTTGTCCACGTAAGCGAGTTTGAATCAAGCATAAATAATTCAGGATGAGAATTCATCGCTGATATTTTATAAGTATTTATTTCCTGGATATTGTAGTGTGACCAATGACTAAATTTGGTGCATTCCTGCGATTCATGCATTTCATACGCACGATGGTTACGACCGTTTTTTGTTTGCGCCTCGCGCTCATTTGCATGCAACGGCATCGAGCGTTTTCAATTAGGGGCTCACCCTCTTTGTTTATTTCGCTCGACGTAAACAATGCGAGGGAACGCATTGAGCTCTGTATGCTTATAACAGGCAGAGTCGTCGTCGAGGCAATTGTTATTATAAAAAGTGTGTCAACACCAACGATACAGTGAAATGCACCGAGTTTTGTGTACTCACAGCGTGAAGAGTCGGCGTCGGACGATTTGCTGAATGATTTTTCCTCTCACCCCACATCACGAAAATATACTGAACGTCCTATCCTTTACGTTTTAGAGTAGTCGCTATAATCTAAGCCAATGTATTTTGAATTGTTTTGTGTTCCCAAAAAATGTATAAAAACCCACGAAAACCTTGTAAAATCGTTCAGTTTCGAACGAACTCGCCTTCACTTCGCATCTAAAACTGTCTAAGCGTTCCAGTGGACATAACTACTCATCGGGACAATTAAGCAATCAATCGTCGAGGCACCAATATTGATTGACTTATCCCAAATCGTTGAAGCTGACCTGGGACAACAACCGAATGAGAATAGAAGTCACACTCGAGATTCGATTTAACTACGATTCGACCAACGAGCCCCAACTACTGACATTGGAAACGACTCTCCGCTTAGACGTATCAACACAACATTAAACACATTGGACAGTTCATTTGACAGTTGCAAAATTACGTGAAGAAAGTGAGTTCAAAACGTTCGATATTTCACTTTATGCACTTAATAAATCAAGTTTTCGCGAATCAACCACTTGCGTATTTATTTCCACTCACATCTCAGTTGTAATAATATCATTACAATATAATTTTCGTGATTTATGACCTTAAAAATGTCACATTCATCCAAAAGGTCCAGTCTCACTACTGGAAACATTGAGAATTTTCTCATCTTCTTGACATTGAATTTTGAAAGAAATTGGTTCTTTAATGTAACAGAAAAATGAATTTCTTGACAAATGAATAGTATAATTTCTTGCAATAATTTCATTTTTAACACAATGGTCAATATTTTCATCGGAAATTAGCGATTTTATGCATTTACCGCAGGCGACCCCAAACAATTGGATGCGGTAACAAAATCTGAGTTGGCTAACGTTTTGGGCTTCGGAAAATCACTAATGGAACACCTATTAGAAGGAACACTTTATAAACGTGATCCAAAAACAGACACATACAACAAACAATTTGTCACCATGCTAGTGAGAAACTACCGATCACACGAAGATATTCTGTACATCCCGAATAAATTATATTATGATCAAAAATTAAAAGCAGAGGCTCCAGAAAGTAAGTAACTTTTGTTTTCAATTGCTGTATTTTTTATATTGTTAAATATAAATTCTTGATTTTAATTTTACAGACATAACACATTTGATTAATAATGAATCTCTTTCGTCACCAGTGGTTTTTCATTCAATACGTGGTGAATGTAAAAAACCACGAGCAAACTCAAGGTAATTTCTAATCATTTTAATAGTATTTTTTAATTATTGTTATAAAAATCTAGATAAACCATTCATTTCTTCATTTCTCTATTTAGTTCATACAATGCCGAAGAAATCGAAATGATTAAAAAATATATTCACGAACTATTGAATGGGCAGACGCTTGGAAAAAAGTTCAAGGCAAATGACATTGGTGTGGTATCTCCCTACAAACTCCAATGCAATAAACTCAAGGATAGTCTGGAAGATTTCACTATAGGTGTTGCGGAAACTTTCCAAGGGCAAGAAAAGCTGGTGATGATAATATCAACCGTTTGTTCCAACAACATTTTACCTCAGTTTGTTCAAAATGAACGGGTAAGAGAAAATGATTATTGTTTTGTTAAATATTAATTTTTATTCTATTTCAGAGAATCAATGTCATGCTAACGAGGGCTAAGGCCCTCATGATTATTATCGGTAATGATGAAACACTCGCGGCAAATAACGACTGGCTTGAGTTAATTAATTTTTGTAAGATGAACAACACATTTTTTGGCGGTAGTTCGCCATTTCAGTAAAATCAATAAAACACTATAAAAAATACACTTTGTTTTTTTTTTTGAATTATGTTCACTTTCTCTCGATTTTTCTTCTGTAACTGTATGCTTTGCCCGAGTTTTTTTGACAAAAACATCCGAAAAAATTATTCTTTATTCGCTATTTCTGTTTGTTATTCATTCATTTGTTATTGTCGCTTCATATTTTGTTGTTTCATATTTGTTCGGTGGTGGTCACAGTGTACATTCACATTTTCGGTTTATATATTGGTTAAACAAGTAGACACCGGTTTTATTATATTTTGGAATGTTTGGAATTCATGCCGAAATCATCGGCAACATCGAAGACATTGAAGCAAAGGCAATAAGTGACACTCACAGAAAAAGTGGAGGCGGTTTTTCCGCAAATTATTGTAGCAACAGCAGAGCTGCAATAAAAATGTGTTTCTTGTAGCTTATTTTGACAGCTACGTACAAGTGTGTGTTTTGACATTTTACATTATTTGTAGCATCTGTATAAACTAAAAAACCAATGTGATGTTAATAAAACATTTTAATATTTATTTTTTAAATAATTTTAGAAATGTCATTTTGACAATTTAAATTCGTGATTTCAGAGATGAAAAAAGTGTGAAGGATTATTTTCCACCGAAATTTTCAACCAAATTCGACACAATTGCTCTGCACAAAGACAAGCCGAGATTCTGGAATCAAGATAATCATTAGCTTACCGAACTAAATGGCAGGATTATTTAACTTGTAAATATATGAAAAAAATTTGATATTCATT